ATTAGACTGGAAATAAAAGCAGTCTTGTGTAACTGATAGTTGGGTGCTGGCTGCATTTTAACTTTCAGCACTTGTCCTGAGTTGTCTTGGCTCCAGCCACCGCTTCCCTGCACATCTGCACACATTTAACACCACCTCTGTGATCCACACAGCATTTTAACACGGGGGACCTGCTTAGACTCAGTATTCGGATTTAATGCGACATTCATTCCACAGAGCTGAGTTATGCCGTCACAGCCATGTTTCACTGGCAGAGCAAATAGCTCACATAAAAATGTTTAGTTTTTCTGCATTCATCTCTACACTGATCAACAAAGAAATTATGCATATCAATTTGACCATTTATTTGGTCAGAGCTGTCTAAAGGCCCTGCTATTTTACACAACTTTACCTACTAATGATTTTTTTTACTAGTGAATAACTCCTAAATGTTATATATTTTTATCTAATTGTTTGAATTGCAGTATGTTTGTGTCCAAAATAGATTCCCAGTTGATTTTTTATTTCATACAGACATCTTTAAAGTCAGATTAAATTTTCATAAGTTGTCTAAAACGTTATTACAAGATAGGGTCTTAAAGGGGCAAAATCATGTAAAATCAAGTTTTTTGAGTTTTATATCATGTTATAATGTTATACTCTCATAAAAAAAAACATGCCCAAAGCCTTGCTTTGACTCATTCATGCATGTTAGAGAAATCCTGTAGCATTTTTAGGAAGCCATGCTGAGGAGCAAAACGACAGGTGGGGACCAGAAATGCCTTTTGGGACCAGAAACGCCCCTGGGACGTGTCTTTAAGCCGAACTTCCTCATGGCAGAAAGTAGGGGTCTCTGTGGACGAGTGGGCGTGTCACAACGAAAGGCGATTCAAAAGCGACACACCTGATTTGACGGACTTTTTTTAAGGGGACACACCTGACTGGACAAGCAAAAAAGGGGTGTCAACGTACGGCACCACCTCATTGGACAAGAACAAAAGGGGCGTTACTGTACGGCATCACTTTTTCTGGAGAACCCTACTTGGGTCACATTTCTCCTGGTTAACCTTAGTGTTGGGGTCAGGGTAAGGCTGTAAAGAGGTCAAGCAGGGTCTAAGGATACCGTCATGTAGACCTCGTAGCCCACAGTGTTTATGGTTTAGACACGCCCACTCTTGTGACACGCCCACTTTGATTCCTCAGATAACCCCTTCTCCATGGCAGAGCGCACCCTCTCTCCCCCACCCCTCACACCCCACCCATGACTCCTGAAGGCTCTCTGGTGAAAGTGAAACCTAACTGTCTGCTGAGCTCCTAACTACTTCTCACTCATTGAAGCTCTTTTCAGATTAAAAATACCTTTGAGAAAATGTATTTTCAGATGCCGAGTAAACTGTATCATGGCAGCCCCCCCGCACCAAAATGGGCAAAACGGAAGCGGATGGTGATTCTTAAAGAGACAGAGGCCAATTTCAAGGCGTTAAGAAGAGGAAGTGATGAGAAGATAAGTTTATTTTCTATTTAAACATAAAAACAGCATTTTAATAACAACTAAAGGTGACATAGATACTTTATTATGGTATGGTATTTAAATATATGCCTGGGAAACACATAATATTGGCCCTTTAACCATTGCAATAAAGATGAGTGATCAGGATACCTGTTAGCAAAAATATCTCATGCTCTACTGGATGAATTTCAATGAAACCTTCAGGAAGTAATCACTGGAGGTACCTACAACTGATCAAATTTTGATTCAAGTCAGCTACCTCAGCTAATCAACCCTGACAAACACAAAAATGGCTACAACTCTGTCATTTATACAGACTGAGCTAAAATTTGGTATGATAGTAGCTGAGACTCACCCCCAACACACAAATATAGGGCACTAAGAAATTGATTATCATTGATTAAAATTAATGCAACCAGATTACAGTAAGCATTTCTTCAAAGAACGCCACTTCTGTTTATTTGGATGCATTTATCAAATAGTTCATCTGAAATTTTTAGACATCTATGAGACTTTTGTGAGAATTTGTTAATTGCGATCTTTCTAACATAGACTCTTAAAGCTGTTTAATTTTGGGCACTCTGAAAGTGAGAAACAAAGAAATAAAATGTGGATATTATCACAATAGAAAAATGATATACTGTATGCTGAATCAAAAAAAAAAACAAAAACAAATCATTTGTCAGTGAATGTCCACCAGCAGGTAGGAAATGAGAAATTACTCACATTTCAAACATAAACACCTAAAGGCCACACAATGCACCCGAATTTTGTTTGAAAAGCACTTTTTCCAATAATCCCACGGTGTCAAATATGGTTAAATTATTTGTTTACAATAGTTCAGCCCTACAGAGCCAAAACACCTCACATTAACATAGTTGTGCACTGAACTAATGGCGAGCACACGGTAAATAATTTAGACTACCTGCCTAATTGCTGTCCAGCCATCTGCTGTGTGGCAGGACGATGCTAATGTGAGGTATTTAGCTCTGAAGGCATACGTTTTACAGGTGCCATGGGAGTAATTAGGAATCATCTTCTTGGGATGATGAATATCTGCCGCTAAAAATATAAATAAATAACCCTGCTTCAGAGTAGAACGTTCCGGTCATTTGATTAGGTGGGTGGAGTAAAAGTGAGCTTTTTTCCCCCCACACAAAAGCAGGACTACATTTCAACAACACTTCTCATCCAGGAGGGCTCAGAGTCTCGCTTATAAGTGTTGTCCTTTCTTTTAAATTAGCTGTGCCAACTCCTGCAGAACGTCTCAGACAAATTGCTTTCCCTAACGGGAGATCTTTGTGTAAGTTTTGGTGTTTTTAGTGAAGGAAGCTAAAGAGTCAACAGCAAGAGCTGATATGGCCTCGACTACAGCGGCTCTTCTCATCTGCTCCTCTTCGAGGGCTCTCGAGGCAAACGGACACCAACTGATTTTACCACAAAATGTCAAAGGTGGAATCTCCTGCACAGTGGTGAACAGCTCAAATGTATGTGTTTGATGAGTCTGATTGTTTAAGGTGCAGAAAATAAAGGTCGTATTTCAGTATTTTTATAAGAAGACCTTAAAGTAGAACAAGTCTTTTTGTTACCATCAAAAGCCATCACAACAGTTAGGCCATCGGTGAAGAACAGGAGTGTTGTTTGGAGTGTTTTCCACCAGGATCTTAGTATCAAAGCCTTTGGGTGGTGCAGGATGTTTGGTGTGGTCTCTGAGGATTAGCTCTGCTTCCAGCAGACGCCATCAAATCCCATCAGATTGGTTTCTAAGGATGCCGGACGAACACCATGACGTTCTCTTGTTGTGCTCTTTAAGCCTTTTCTAAGCAGCTTTATTGGAGTACCCCGCTGTCCTGCTGAAGTGGGGCTGCTTCAGTTGTCATGATGTGTGTGTGTGTTGGGAGGGACAGGCCTGCAGGTGGCAGAGGTCAACAAGAACAAACTGCAGAAAAATCCATTCCTCACATGGTGGTAATATTATAGTTGATGTGTAATGATCGCATAAAATCTTGCTAGAAAAAAAAATCCATACATTTTAATTCCAAGCAAGCGAGGGGGTTCCTAAAATATTTTTTAAACTCAGACTACGGGCTGGAACAGACTTTTTTTCCTTTTTCTAATTGATAAATTACGGTGACACTCCGCAGTCTGTTTCCAAGTTTTTGCACAAACACCGGAGAATGAGAATCCACACCAGAGAAAAAAAATAAAACAAAAAGTTGAACATCATTAGGATGTTGGAGCTGGCATCTTATTTTTGCTTTACGCTGGAGGATTTCGCTCCGAAGAGCACCGTCTCATCACCACTCATTACTCCATGTGTGGGTAAGTCCCACTAGGAATTTAATTTGTTTCCTGCAAATAGCTTACAATTCATAGGTGTGTTAGAGGATGTCTACTTGAGTTATTGCACTGCCTCAAAACGCCCGAGGCTATTAGACTTTTCATGAACCAGAGCCAGTCTGCTGTGCTGTTAGGACAGCGTAAATCCAGTGCCACAATGGAGACACAACCTCCAACGTAGATGAAGACAGTCTGTTTTACAATGTGATTTCCTTAAGCGGTAATGAGTTTTACTTTATTAACTTTTCATATTTGCATTTGATGAGAGTAATATGAAGCCTTTCATTATCCTCACTTTTACCAAGGCTCCTGTCGCAGTTATGAAGCGGCATTACAGCTGCAATTAAAATGTTCAACATGGCAAACAGCCAGAGGAAGAAATGTTTAATACCCCAACTGAAGCTCAAAGCCTTCGAAAGATTTTCAATAATGGTCAGCAAATTACTGAGTCTGCTCATTAATTGTCAGAGAGACAGAGAGAGAGTGAGAGAGAAAATGAAAAATTGGGCATTGATGTTAATAAAAACTCCTTTCTGCCTGACTCTTTAGCATATTAGGTAAGGCTTTACAAGAAATTGTGCACGTGAAATTACCTTTTGCCCGCTTGCACCTCAGTCAAAGGCCAAAATGATTGAAAAAAGATGATTTTAGCACCAAATGAAAGAATAAAAAAATAAAGCTGAGTTTAAAGATAACGCAAGGCGTTTATCTATTAACACGCTGCTTGCTGAACCAAGTCACGAAATGAGTCTCGGATGAAAGCGAAAAGGTAAAACGTTTTAAAATTTGTATGCTTTTATGTCAAAATAGTGCACATTTTACAGCATTATTGATCAGTTTTAAAAGATACAGTACCTCCCGGAGGGGAAAAAAAAAAAGATATAAACAGCGTGACATGTTCACAATGTTCATATCATATAAATATACAGATATTTCCAAAATGAACCATAACCTCAACATGCAGCTTAGGCATGAAAACACACACACACACACACACACACACACACACACACACACACACAC